GTCCCTGCATTTACTGCTCTCAGGTTGTATTGATGTTTGCAATGGGATACACTATTTATGCTTGGAAAATTCAAGCACCTCATGACCTAAAGCGTTACCGCAGTGGCCGCTGATGATCAGAAAAACCCAGGCGGGTAAAGTGAAGGCGCATAAAAAGGAGGATATGTCGATAAATACGTAGAGACTGTCGGCTGCATTAGGGGATTGCTGGTGGTCATTCACCAAGGTGCAGAATACGCGCAAAGCAAGATTAAAGGAATAAAAAACACAGCTCAGAGGACAGATAGCAGGAGGTAATTTCACACAAACATACCCACAAGGTAAAAGAAGACATCAAGGGTTTGTCATTTGTTTGTTTTCATCTGTTTGTGAAGGCACATTGGAGATTTTTTCCCCCCCTCTCTCTGCAGCTCTGTGGTTGAATGCATGTGCGTGGACTTGCTTGTGTGTGTGTGCTCATATGTGGGTGTGTGGCTGGCTAGCGGTTATGTAAGGCACTAATTGTCATGCAGTGCGCAAGGTGCAGACACTAACCACAGACATGAAGCCTTCTCCAAGCCCACAGCGATGAATATTAAAATGCATCTGAATAATGTAACGGCGGTGCCACAAGAGAGCATGTAAACATCAGGGAAAAAAAACTCATTCCGCTCACGTCAAAACTCACTTCATTTCCAACAAAAGCCATGCATTTATTTGATCTGTCTTTTATACCTTGCGTGTGCAATGTGTCTAAAGAGTGCACGTGCTCGGCGAGTGTGTGGGAGAAGATCCGTGCGCTTCTGGACCTACGTCTTTGAAAGCTTGTTTGTGAATCCAGTTGGTTTCCGAGGAGTAAAGGAAAGAATGTGAGGCAGTAAATCACAGCGGAAGCTCTGAGACATTGGCACGGATGTTGGAATTAATAAGCCCGCTCCGCAACAAAAACCCAACTCGATGTGAAGCGTGTGATCTTTTTTTTTTTTTTGTGGGGGTCTCTCAAATCTTTGAGGAAAATGGTCTAAAAAATTTAAACTGGTTTGTGACACTAAAAAAGGACAACATGGAGGGCTGCTCTGAGATGAAGTAACTGGACTGAAATCTTTGAGCACTTAACTGCTTCCTGTCCTGAAATTAAAGAATATTTGAGGACCAGAGATATTTAAAGATGGATGAAATTGCATCAAAGAGCATACGCGATGAGCTTCAACTGGCAATACAATCAAATTTGTATGAGTCGTTTCTATGAACATCAATGTCTCTCCAGTTTATTATGTTTGTTCTCTCTAGAACACAATTTAATTTAGTTGGGGGAAAAAGTGCTCTCTTGCCATGCATCGAGGTAATCTTCAAATTGTCCGTGATGGGATGCAACCACATTCACAATAGAAACAGACAACCCCAGACGAAGCATTTATCAATAGTTGAGTTGCTGCCATTGCAGCACTGGCTGATGTAATCAAAGAAATTGAACCCCTGTAGAAGGCTAGTCTGAGCTCTAGACAATCTGTCTTCCTTAGCAGAAGTGTACTTTTTAAACTGTTTGCTAACTATCAATAATTGTATAAAGTCCATTTTTATCACTGAATTGCTGCTTTTCATTTTTTTTTTTATTAAAAATTTCCTAAAATTATGAGGAGTGATGTCTATCTGAGTCAATCCTTTTCAGTGTAGGTTTTATCACTTGCTCTTTTTTTAACTTGTTGGTAAAACATATTTAGTTTCATAACTCCTCTTGGAAAAGGTTTTTAATTAGTTTGTTCTCATGTGGTTAAATCATTGATTTAATCCATCTGCATGTTTGGAGAAATGATTTTGCAAAAGAAAAAAAAAAGATATATTTTTCGTTATCTGTGAAATTTTATGAATAAAACAAGCAAGCACATGAAAAATTGTATTTTAAAAGCTTCCAAACAAACACAATGTTTTAGCATCAGATAGGCAAAATTCAAAATGTCTTGTGACTAAAAGATTGTAGTGGTTATATTGCAGTAATGCGGCATTTCAACTTCTAGAACTGCACAACCAGTATCTGCAAGGGGCAACAAACCAACTGTACACAGTATTATGATGCAATCCCTCCAACTGTTTGCCTTTTGCRATTTTAACTCAAAGAATTTCCAAAACTACGTGATTTTTAAAACAAACGTCTCACTAGACTGACTGCAGGCAGCGTGCTGGCAAAAGGCATTCATGAGGGAGTTTCCAAAATGTCTCAGTTTTGTTCCTCGAGTCACAAATATGCACCGTCTCGTCAATCTTCAAATTTGTCAATGTTAACTAAAAAAAAAATTTACGTGACAAACTAACAATCTCAAACAGCTACAGCTCAGTGAGRTACAAGTGTTGGCACATACTGAACAACTAATCATGAAAAGAAGAATGAGGCAAAGTAGGAAATAAAAGAGTAACGTTAAGTGACTGTAAAGTGTTTTGTGCTGATGACTCACACATGCTCTGGCCATGAAAAGGACAATAAGATGCAGACAGCTTCGTGTGACATCAACCTGCAAGAAAAAAGAGAGAGAGATGGAGAGAGAGAGGGAGAGAGAGAGATATATATTGGATGATTGGTGCTTCAGTCAGGAGAATCCTTGTGCCCGAGGCCTGAGGCTCTTTGACACAGGAAGAGCTCTCTACAACTTTGAGCAGCATTAGGGGACAAGATCACCTGGGAGGAGAAACTGGACTCAGAAACCCAGCTGCCCTGCTTGGATTAATTTTCCTTTAGGTGTGTTGCATTCCCACTTTCTATTATATAAATGGCTATCTCATGGGGGTTCACTGTTGGTAAATCTAARGAATAAATGGAACCAGTCAGCAGATATCAGCAAATAATGGCAGTCAGAGTTTTTCACTGGAAGGAAAAGAAAAAGTGCAGTTGTCCTTCTCCCCAAAGCAGCCTCCGGAAATCAGATGGCTTCCATGCAACGTTTACAAAGGCCATTATTTCCTTACACTTTTTGACAACAGCGTTCRTGTTCAATTCATTCAAAAGGTGACATAGCATTCACTCAAAGTCAATCACAGTATTCACAACCACTTCCTTTTCTATAACTACACAATTACAATATTTATGAGTACTCCTGCTGATGGAAAGACTATTTCACTGCCCCTCCTTCACTATCTCCCCCTTTCTCCTGTGGGCCCTCATTCTTTTTCTGTGAGCTTATTTTAATAAAAAGTGTGACGCTGAATCACTTGGGCATTGGGTGGGCTTGTAATTTTCACAATATGGTGACATGAATAACTATGAGCTGATGATTCTAAAGATACAGTGAGCTCCCGAATTAAAAAAAAATATTAACAAAACACTGGAGAATAAAAGACAGAATCTTTCTTGTTCTCTGCTCCTTAGAGCCTCAAACAATAAAGCACTTAAAATTACTGGGGGGAAAAAAGTCCATTCCAGTGACCTTAAACAGTGAGGCGGGAAGAAAAAAAGTAAAAGCATGGAGACGAAATGACAGCATTTAAAAACAGGAGTAAACAGACGGGGACGCAAATGTTCCCATCAGGGTGAACATCTTCTAGTACAGCTCCGCCAGGGAAAGATTATTGATAGCGAGTGTGTGATTGTGGGTCTGTGGGGTGGCATTAAAAATACTCCCATCCCCTCTGCTTGAGCTGCACTACATCTCCTTCATTCCATTAAACCTCACTGCTATAATATGCATCCGAATTGCTATTAGGTGGTCTATCATGTGCCTCAGCAGGCAAATACAATCTAAATCATTTGTACCTGAGGGTTGTGTCCTGGCGAGAGATGACTTATTCATGACATAGCATACACAACAGGAGATGATTAGCTACCCGAGGGGTCCACCCTTTTGGCAAGGGCAATCTAAAGGAATGTTAACCAGTGGTACAGGACTTTATGTGCTGCCAAAAGCGTYTGCTCCTTAAAACAAGACGAGGAAATTATTTCAAATTGTACAACCTATTTATTAAATTAAGAGGTTTTGCTCGACTCTCCAAGAACTACAGTAGATGTTCGCTGCCAACGCTAATATGTGTCTGAATTTACATTTAATTCTAGTCCAGAGTACAGCAGTCTATAATCTCAAAGGCACACATTTTACAAAATTAGGGTTGAAGTGGTGCAATACGCCCCTTGAAACAGTCTAAAAATAAAAGCTATAAAAGCAGGGTAAAGTAGAGCACATTGGTACTTTTACTCAGTTGTATTTGACATAAAGCAAGGCATAGACATATTAGGGCCTCAGAAAAGTGTGGTAGTGTGTGGAAAAAATAGCATACATGTATACTACCTTGGCTAAAAGTGTTAGTTCTGAACACTGGACTGGAAGGGCTTTGTGTTGCTAAACATTTTTTGCTGACACTGATTTTACGGTGGCAAACAATGTGATGAGTTACCAACATCAGCTGAAAAGGCAAATATCAGACAGGCTGAGGATATTTCCAATTCCTCATTTCACTCCACAATAAAAAAGGGCGCCACTGGTTCAGTTTACTGAGACTATTCCACGTTTGTAACCAAATAATATAATCCTTCTCAAGTAATGTTAGCTATCCTTGATATCAAGCACTGGTTTTGGAAAGAAAACAGCATAAAATAAAAGACAGTTTGAATATGTGATATGGTTTACCTTGCTCACTTAGGAGTGAGCACATAAAGCCTGTTTGTTTGTGAACTTCACATTACTATTCCTCAGTTCCTCTGAAACTATATATACGTATTTATATACAGGTCCTTCTCAAAAAATTAGCATATTGTGATAAAGTTCATTATTTTCTGTAATGTACTGATAAACATTAAACTTTCATTTATTTTAGATTCATTGCACACCAACTGAAGGAGTTCAAGCCTTTTATTGTTTTAATATTGATGATTTTGGTAAAAAAAAAAAAGTAAAGAAAAAATACCCATCCTCAAAAAATTAGCATATCATGAAAAGGTTCTCTAAATGACTTATTAACCTAATCATCTGAATCAACAAATTAACTCTAAACACCTGCAAAAGATTCCTGAGGCTTTAAAAAAACTCCCATTCTGGTTCATTACTCAAAACCGCAATCATGTGGACTGCTGACCTGACTGCTGTCCAGAAGGCCATCATTGACACCCTCAAGCAAGAGGGTAAGACACAGAAAGACATTTCTGAATGAATAAGCTGTTCCCAAAGTGCTGTATCAAGGCACMTCAGTGGGAAGTCTGTGGGAAGGAAAAAGTGTGGCAGAAAAAGCTGCACAACAAGAAGAGTTGTCAGTCAGTGATGGTCTGGGGTGCCATGTCAGCTGCTGGTTTTGGTCCACTGTGTTTTATCAAGGCCAGGGTCAATGCAGCTAGTTATCAGGAGATTTTGGAGCACTTCATGCTTCCATCTGCTGAAAAGCTTTATGGAGATGAAGATTTCATTATTCAGCATAACCTAGCACCTGCTCACAGTGCCAAAACCACTGGTAAATGGTTTACTGACCATGGTATTACTGTGCTCAATTGGCCTGCCAACTCTCCTGACCTGAACCCCATAGAGAATCTGTGGGATATTGTGAAGAGAAAGTTGAGAGACACAAGACCCAACACTCTGGATGAGATTAAGGCCTCTATCGAAGCATCCTGGTCCTCCATAACACCTCAGCAGTGCCACAGGCTGATTGCCTCCATGCCACACCACATTGAAGCAGTCATTTCTGCAAAAGGACTCCCGACCAACTATTGAGTGCATAACTGAACATAATTATTTGAAGGTTGACTTTTTTTGTATTAAAAACACTTTTCTTTKATTGGTCGGATGAAATATGCTAATTTTTTGAGATAGGGAATTTTGTTTTTTGTTTACTTTTTTGCCAAAATCATCACTATTAAAACAATAAAAGTCTTGAACTACTTCAGTTGGTGTGCAATGAATCTAAAATATATGAAAGTTTAATGTTCATCAGTACATTACAAAAAATAATGAACTTTATCACAATATGCTAATTTTTTGAGAAGGACCTGAATATGGTTGTCTTTGTTCCTGAAAACTTTGGGATTAAATCCGGTAACCTTCTTGCTGGGAGGCAAAAGCACCAATTGAGCCACTAAATTGTTCTTTATGATGAAAAAATGATTAAGTGTTATAAGTAAGCTACAACCTGCATGTCTGCATCTTTGTTTGAGGCAACAAACATTGAAACCTAAATTAAATTGAAATCCACATACATATGATATTATATTTCCTCTGTTTATTATATTTCCTCTGTTTTAATTCAAGGCTCCTCCTCAATGGCACCTCARTGTGAGATCAAGAAGAGGCGTGAGGACAACGCATTGACATTCAGATGGCAGGTTAGAAACTCACCAGTGATTGAAAACGAAGGGTGTTCTTTTTTCCTTCTGGAGGCAATTAAATGTGAAGCCACAGCTAAGAGACAACTACGCAGTAACATTCAAGTGACAGCTATGGGCCAATACAGTTAATTGCACTTAATTGCTTTCACCTGGAAACCCCCAGTGGAAAACAAATCCTGCTTAGATTAAAGTCCATTCTCTCACAGTTMAAACCAGCAGGGCTCCGAGTCTTGAGGCAGGACCACAAATGCACTCACGCTCAGGTTCAAGTTAGGGCTGTCATGGATAATAAAAAATTAAATAAATAAATAAATAAAAACACCAGTAAATGCACACCTACACGCTCACTCAAGCACATCCCATGATTGCTACACACTCAGAGTGTTRCGTATTGTTGTACTGTAAATGTGCAGTGATCCCAGCTGTGCAGTGGTGAAGACAATAGCGGGATCAGCTATGGGGACAGTAACTATTTCATGGCTGGTCACTATCGCCCCTTTCAGTGCAGCAGTATGATCAATACACACACACACACACACACACACACGTCTGTTTCTTTTCTTGTCTCAGCTGACTTCCCTCCCTCTTTTATTGGGACATTTTACGCTGGCTTAATGCAGTGATGCATTTGATTGCACCCACCCCCCACCCCCACCCCCATGGGGGCAAACTCATCAAAAACCTGATTCACGGAGAGGCAGGTGGGGAAATAAGTTTGCCGAAGCCATCTCAAGTGGAAACTTCGGAATAAGATCAACTTTGTTTGAAACTTAGAATGCTGCTAAGCAGAAAACCATTACAAATGATAAAATGTAGTGCCGTGAGAAAAATGCTCAGCAATCTGCTGCACAATTTAAGKTTTTGGGATTTCAAGGCATAAAAAAAGGGCCTGAAGCTTCCACTCTGCTCTCCAGATAATGTTCAAATCGCACAAAAAAATAAAATATAATCATGATTATAGTAATAAAAAGAATGATTATTTACAATTCAGTACAATACAATTTATATGGCACAATTATGGTGCAATAAAAAAACAGTCTTCAGAGATTGAAAGTAGCTTATAATGATGCATTAAGACATTTGTTTAAAAAGCCCAGATGGATCAGTGCCAGTGAACTGTGTGTGCCCGCTAGTGTCAGCTCTTTGATGGCGGTTTTAAGAAATCTTATACATAAATTCATTTGCAGACTAAATAAGTCTAATACAACCYCTG